CAAATCACTGATTTAATTTAGCTTTGTGAGTCCGCCCATCTGGACCGACCTGCTGCACCGCTGCGTAATCTTGCACATGTCGATTATTTTGATTATTTTCAGGGCAGAGTCATGTGACTACACATCTAATCGGCGACATGGAAGCAAGAAAAAGAAGTCAAATGTAAACACTGAGGAAAAACAGTTTGCAAGAAATGCAGAAAGTTATTTATTTTCTACAGAAGTTAATTTCTACTTTCAAACTAAAATGTGTCGTTTTCATTTCAAGCTTTGATTTCAGTTTGAAATATTCAATAAATAACCTCAAAATAGTTCATCAGATATGAACTCTGTCATTAGAAAACATATCCCCAACATTTATTTTGAGATTGAAGAGTGATGTGTTTGATGAATGTTGGAAAGGATTACCAACAGGAAACAGATTTCAGGTAAATAGCTGTTGTTGTATCGTAACTCCCTGGTTCTCTGCGCTCTATTGTGCTTTATGTTTATAGTATGTCTGTTTTTATTTTTTGTCTTTTACCTTCGGGAAAAAAGATTTTTATTTCAAAATGCTGTAAACCAGTTTGACTTTAACTTGAAGAAAAAGAAAACACATCCCAGCTTTAATAGTTGAAGATATTTACAGTAGAGACCTCGTCAGAGAGCTATGAGGGCAAAAAACAAAAACAAAATAATCGTTCATTAATCGTAATCGAGGTCAAATGTTCAATTAATCATGATATTCATTTAAGATCATATCGCCTAGTCCTACTTCCTACTGATATTTTGTGTTTAAAGTCTTTATATGTGATGTTTTGATCCAGCAGATGTCACCCTTGAGCTCCAGCATGAAACCAAAACAACTGGCGCTGCATTGTTGTGTTAGCATGCTAATGCTAGCGATCTTTATTATGCTGGTATCTTCACACTGCATGTAAATTTACCTGAAATGAGCGTGATCTAGAAACACAGTTAAGCAGTGAGTACAGTATGTTATTCTTCTTTTCTCTAGTCCCTCAATTAAACAACTTTTATACACGAGGGGAGGAGTCAGCCGGCCGTCCGGGCGATGTAAACAAAGTGAAGATAGGACTCTGAAAACTCTGAAAACATCACAGACAGTGGGACTCGGGTGTTACACCCATTGTAGACAGTCATGACTCACAGAGTTATTTTCAGAGGAGATACTTGATTTCTACATTTAAGTGTGAAAAATGGTAAAATAAAGACTTTAAGAACAACTGTAGCAACCACATTTCCCCCTGGGATTAAGAAAGTATTTCTGATTGTGATTTTTTCGGAACATTTCTCTGGGCCGGGCGAGCTGAAGATCAGATGTCATGATGTCTCAGATTACTGAACTGAAGTGTTTAATGTGTTTCCTTGAGAGTTAAATCTCATTATTTGTCTCTTTAACTCTGATTAATGGTCTTTGAGTTTACATTTATGATGCTCCCCATCTGTGCTTCTTTAGTAAACAACACTCGGCCTCCCTCTGAACGCGCCTGGCGTCTGGCTGCACGGCGCTCTGGGACTTCTGTCACTCTTTATTAACCTGCTGTAACAACCTGATGTGCTTTACAACTTCTGCAGGCGGCACGCTCTCACCTTCACAGCAACTCACAGTGAGAGAAGTTCATTAAGGCTCTTCTTTTAAAATGCCAGAGCCTTTCATTAACATTAACCCCGGAGCCGCCGCCACGCTTTTTAATTAGCGTGTTTAAAGCGTGCATGGCGTTTTCAAAGGAAGTGGCTGAAGGATACAAAGGGTAGAGTGCGGCTGAGCAGTCAGATATTAATGCTGCTAGAGAGCTCATTAAAATGCAGCTTAATGAGAGCACCGCCACAGGCATACAGCGTCCCGCCATGGTCGTCCTTAAATTACTGAGAGGGAACAAAAAACACGTCTTTGCGTCGCGGGGCGCTGTAAATTAGCCCGTTGAAGGCAGGAGGATTTAAAGATGCAGAGCAGCAGGAAAGTCAAATATAAGTCCTAAACAAGACGAGGAAATAGTGCCGCACATTTCTCCAGTCAGCCGCAGAATAAACCACGAGTTGAAAATAAAGAAGAGGCAGATTCATATTTAATGAAGGAGGCGTTCAGACTTTTGACAAAAGATGGCGGCTGCAAAAGTCGGGTCAACTGAATCCTAACAACGACCTCCAAAATAAGAGTCGAGATACTAATCAGGACCGTAAACATCTAATTCATTTAAATCCAAATATCCATGAAAATCAGTCGATGGATGATATTTAACTCAATCCCCTCCCCCCCTTTCCCCAACACAGCTCATATTTCAGCTGACAGGGTGAGGAACTCTCACACTTCTTTAGCAGCTCAAATATTTACTTTAGTTTGAAGTGCAGCGGAAGGGTGAGATAAGGAGCGCGGCGGAGGCTGACAGGAGACGTGTGAGTTGAATGAATGAGGAATAAAAACTGCTGTCTCGTCAGTTCACAACTCTCTGAAAAGGACTTTAGTAGACCGTCTTAATCAGTCTGGAAATGCATTATTTTTTTTAAATCTATCAATATAAAGCTTACTGACAGAGCCCATGTACTCTACAGGGGTCTTAAGCCCCGTTTCCACCGAGTGGTCCGGTTTGGTTCAGTACAGTCTGGTAGGTTAAACCCTGAACTTGCTTTCGTTTTCACAGCCAACCGTATACTTATTTGGTAAGCAGAGTTTAAGCTAGATGGAGATAGCCGCTTCAGCTATGTAACAGTGTGACATCACAGCAGCCCAACACAGTGCAGCTCGCTATTAATGAAGTTCAACGAAGAAGAAGAACAGGGACACAGTAAACAAAGGGACCCTTTAGAGTCGGATCAGTACCCTTGGCACTCCAACAGATGTTGTAGTTTGAAAGGTTGAATCATTACAGAAACACACAATCTGGACAGCAACAGGCAAAAACCAATAGTTATCTAACATCTGAATTTAGCCAGGTCATAAGGTCATGTTCTGATACACGTACACACATACCCAGCCACCCTTTCCTGGTAATAGAGCAGTTTGTCCGGCCAACAAACTTCTAGGAAACGGTCTTTATATAGCACACATGTTGTAATTGCTCAGTGTGATGATTGCCCATGACGGGACGATTGGGATGCTATAAAAGAACTGCTCCAAGAGAAATAAACAGATCCTCGATTCACAAGCCGTAGTCTCTGTCTGATTGGTCAAGAGCATTTACTCTTCTACATAATGGTGCTGCGAGCACACTGGGAAGAATGACCAGACACCTGCTGCATCCAGGGCTGGAGGGACACTGCACAGTGGACACAACAAAAGGTAGGAGCTTTATCTTACCAAAATGTACATGTGCAGTCTGATTCCATGCCTTGGATCAAGTAACAGGTGTCTAAACATTCTCCAAAAGGAACCTACATTGTTGGGTACCAAAAAAAGTAGGACTGTCTGGATCCCTTATTTTGGTAACATTCCCAACTTTGGACGGTGGAAACGCCAATAAATGGGTATCGCACCGCACCGTACTGCACAGCACCGCACCGTACTGCACAGCACCGTACTGCACAGCACCGTACTGCACAGCACCGTACTGCACAGCACCGTACTGCACAGCACTGCACTGAACTGAACCAGACCGCTTGGTGGAAATGATAAATATACAACGAGGTATGACAAACCCAAGTGGCTGTTTTTTTGTGTCATGTTGGTCTTTTTTGACATCGTGATGGACATTATTATTGACTCAAACAAACTGATCAAAAATCATCAGTAGGCAGAGTTTGGAGTGACAGCTTCATCTGTGAAGCGTTAAAGGTCCCACCTGTTGAGCCGATGGCACCAGCTACAGTTGAAGTTGATCTGTGAGTAGATGCAGGTGCTGCAGCTGGTGAACTGGAGACAAGCTGAAGATGAGGAAACGACACAACGGGGTCAAAATCACAAACAATTTACACAAAGATATAATCATGCAGTATAAGGATTAAGCATCCCTCTTAGTTAGAAACCTAATAGAATAAATTCTTCTTACTGGCTAAAGGAAATATTTCCACAGCTGTAGAATTGGTGATCCTCATCTTGGTCAGCTCCACGCGGTGGTACTCGTAGATCGTCCGCCGCCTCACATCTGTGAAAAAGAGAATGAGAGAGTGAGCAAACCATCGCAAATCTCCCGACCGGAGATAAAAACTGGGACAAGGGGTCGCCGGAGAGCAGGGAGAGCAGGGAGCGGGAGGCTGAATCAGGCCATGAGGGATGCTACCACAGCACTTTATTTCACCCTCTTTCTTTGTGTCCCGGCATCAGCTCAAACTTGGCAATGGACGGGGGGCAATTTCCCCCCAGGAGCCGATATCAATCAGAGCGTGTTGAAAGGCTGCCTTCCCGCTCATCTGTAACAGCGAGTCATCAGCCGGCGGAACGACAGAGCGATTGATTAGATACATCATTGACTCTCATTGCATTCTGGCAGTTATAACTCAGGAGTGGGAAACGGGCTGCCGGCTCTCGATGAACATGCTTCTTTACTGCCATCAGTTGAAAATGGAAAAGATGATAATTAATGAGGATCTTTGTTAAAGAGGCCCTGATAGATCTGATAGTAAAGTCCTCGGTTGATACAGAGGGTTGATCTGAACTCTAACTGGATTGTAGTGTGATTTAAAATAACTCACCGCGATGCACAGCAATATGCATCGGCCATTGCTCAATACATGACATTTCCTATTGCTTCTGTTTGCCAGAGCAATGAGCTACAGAATTGAAATCCAATCCAGCACCTCACCGTGTGGCTGTTTAACATACAGAGTGAGAGGGGACTCATTCATCATGGAGTTTTTGTAAAACGCTGAAACGGCTTCAAATATAAGGAGGAGTTTGACATTTCACTCTCTCCCATCAGACATCCTTATGTCTGTCTTTAATGTAACAGCCCAGAGACCTGAAGGCTAAAACACAAACGATGTGCTCCAGTATTTTCTTTGGTTCCTGTCATGAAGAAGTTATCTACTGAATTATTTTTTGTACGACTGAGAGCACCAAGCTCCATCTGTAGAGTGGCTCCACTTTTCAGAAAATGTGTGCTCAAACAGGCTGTTTGGAGATGTTCCCTTCATGACATCACAAAGGGCAGTAACCCCTCCCCCAGGTGGGTGACACTCCCACAGCTAGGTGTTTGTTCTGCCCTCTGAGTCTGCCTTCTCACCGTAAACAATAGGACATGAAGCAAGAAAGACCGAGTACACCCAAGCCCTTCCAGAGAGGGGGCGTGGTCAGACACAGCTCATTTACATATTTAAAGGTACAGACACAGAAACAGCCTGTTCTGAGCAGGGCTGAAATAGAAGGGTTTATAGACATGATCAAATACAGGATCAGAGTGGATTTAGAACAAGAAACTTCACACACATGTTTTGAGGAGCTCTGAGACTTATTTACACTGAAGAGGAGGAGGAGGATATGTGACCTTTAGGTGACCAAAACTTTAATAAATCTAAATTCAAGGAGAACATGTTAAACTATTAATTTAACAACATTCAAGTTTCTTTTTATTTTGCAGTGGATGAATTGCTGACTGTGCAGCCTACAGTGTTACCCGTCATGTGACAGGATGTTGTTTCCCTGCAGACCTGCTTGGTTTGATTACATGCAGTACAACTGATCAAAGGAGTAAATGTGAGCCAGCCCGCCGTCTAACCTGAACATAAGTCCGCCCCTCCCCTTCCCCTCCTCTCCTCCCCTGGTGCCTGACTTCCTCTTGCCTCTAGCAAAGGGATTATCAGGTGCCTAATGACACGGTGGGGGCCACAAGAAGGTCAGCCCCCCAGCCTGAAGCAGCTGATGTGTGGGCAGACTCTGACGCCTGGCTGGTCTCTGGTTTGTAGGTGGAAGGAAGCCAAGAATCAGATCAATTATAGCCTGGTTTCAGCCACAACACAAACAACACCAAATGAGCATTTAACTACCTCTCACTGATAGAAGCAAACGAGGCAGATTTGCAAACGAGATTTGCAATGAAGCAAAAAAAGAAAAGTAAATTTCAGTTAAGACAAATGAAAATTAAACCCACATTAGGAAAAGATAACACACAAAGGTTCACTGCCTTAAAGGAGCAATCTGTAAGAGTGAAATGATAAAGGTATCATACTATCTGATCATTAAGGAAACATGCTATGTTGAAGTGCTGGCTTCTCTGACAACAATGCAGCAGCCAGTATGTCCTCCTTCTAACTTTAGATTCTGCTCCTGAATGCTCTGGATTTGTTTGGACCAGAGAAGGTAGGCGCTTTTAAGACACGCCCCCACTCAGTCGTTTTGGACGCCCCTCGGTTTGTCAGATATGAGAGCAGTTATCAGGTCAACAGGTGTTGCAGTGATGGAAGCGGTCAAGAGAAGTGGTTCAGATAGAAGTGATTGTACCCGACCTAAAAAGCCTCTGCATGTTTCTAATAAGCTCCACGAGCAGAAACGTGCTCAAACTAGGATCAATATTGGAGATGCTTTTGAAAAATGGAGAGAGGTTAGAACACAGAAAGGTTTACAGACCCATGCAGAGCTGGATAAACACTGAAGCTTCAGAGTCCACCACATGGTGACCTGAGTGAGCATCCACTCTAGAGAGGGGGGGGGGGGAGAGACAGCTCTCTATGATGTTTAGAATTCAGACTGCAGTACCCATTTTAAACACTAGGTGTCAGAGTTACATACTGCTCCTTTAAACTGTCATATATAAAAGGTAAAATTACTAATATATTCAAACACATCAAAGAACTGCATGGATATTGAGTCTAACATGAGATGACAGCTTGGACTGTCTGTTTGGTCCCATTCCACAAAATCGTACACTGTGTTCAATCGACCTCTCATCACATCTGCTTCAATGAGTTCTCCAACATGCACACAGTGATTCCTTTTACACGGAGATCAGCTGTGAAACGCATGAAAACAAATCCAACATTGAAAAGAGACTCAACCGTCATGTGAGTTATCGCTCTGGTCTTGACCTCCTCCCACCAGAAATCAGGATTATTAATCCAGTTACATGATATAAAAAAAGGTCAGGGCAGGTCTGGACTTCATTTTCTCCTTTTTAGACTAACTCAATGAGACCGATCATGTTTAATCCTACAGAACAGAGAGTCTATTAAAGCCCGGGTCTTCATATGTTCTTGTACCTGACCTGTTAATTACACAGCCCGGCCACAGGACACCCACAAATCTCTCTCATCTCCTTCTTTTACTGGACGGCCTTGCCCTGCCTGGAGGAAGTATAAAATGTTTTATTTGAGCTTTTAATCTGCAGCAAAGCTAGTGAAAAAAAAGAAGAAAGTCCCCTGGTTGCCATGGTTGCGGTGCAGTAATTGGCTGCAGAGACAATTAAGTGAGAGGAAACGCTTCCTCGTGGGTCGGCCTTTAGCGCTCCTTGCTCTCCTCTCGGTTTAGTTCTCTGGTGCGATTAGAGCTTAATGGCCACAAAACAGGGACGTCTAACACAGAAGACATAAATGAGTCGAGGAAGACTGCCTTGATGCTTGAGAAAAACACGTCATAGGATATTTTATTAACGGTTAAAAGCTTTGAAGCAGATTGAGACATTCGATCGAGACGTTGAACATTTTCAGACAAAAGAGAAAAAAGATGTTTTTTTCTTCATGAACTTTCTGACGCATCTTTTCCAGCCAACAATTCTTCTTTTGGTCAGTCTCTGTGCTTTGACCATCATAACAATGTCTAGTTTTGCTCCTGTTTTCATCAGCTGAGAAATATGTCCAAACTTAGGCCCGATGATGATGGTAATGACGATGGTTTTTGTTTGATAACGACGACTTATAAGATGGTTTCTATACTGATTAGAGCTCTCAAGAACTGCCCTCAATGTTGTGCTTTGCCTCTGGTCACTTCCTGTCAGCACCTGTGTGTCCAATCAGACTCAAAGCTGATCGTTTGCTCTTACTCACATTGTTTTTTCTAGATCCTTGCTTGTGTTGTTCTTACTCTCTGATGTACGTCGCTTTGGAGAAAAGAGTCTGCTCAGTGAATTGTAGAGTTGAAGCGGCAGTCTGAACAGGGCTACTGAGAGAGCCAGACAGTTGTGACACAAACAGGAGCAAACTATTCTGAATCATCATTCATGTTTAACATAAAACCTCGGTGTCAATCTGCTTCCATCCAAGATTTCATCACTCCATGAGCAGGCACCCTCGGGTTTCATCACGCTGTGACACCGGCATCAAAGACGGCTCGCTTTATGAAGTCTGGGAGGACCTCGCTAACAGGTTTAAATAAAAATCTCTCCTTCAATAAAGAGATCTCGCAGCCTTCAGATGACACCGAAAAAAACCTGTCAGTCTTTTTCAAAACATCCCCCAGTCTCCAAAAATCCCTTTAGAGGCATAAATGCAGCTGTAATTTACCTCCCAGTCCAGATCAGCGAACATGAACACAAAGAACTACTCTATATACTGGGTTAAGTTAGAATACTTCAAATAAATGCTTTCCAAGTTACACACACAATAAATGCTGTTTAAATGACTGAATAAATTACATCTGGCAACTCATTACAGTGGAGGACGTTGAATCGAAACAGATGAGGGGGGGGGGTTTGACTGTAGATGAAAAGGTTTGAAGTTCTCAACTTTCGCTCACTTTAAATTTAATGAGCCTAAATTGTAGTAACTAAAAAGCGAACAGGGGAACAGGGAGAAGCAGATCTGGAGCGGAGCCCACAGCTCGGCCCACTGGGGGGGGGGGGGTGGTGACAGGCGGAGCTTCAAGAGAAACAGAGAGGGGCTGAACTCAAAGCTACAAGAAACAGTTTAAAGGGTCAAAATAAAAAGTTGATGAGTGCCACTTTGTTTAGCCCCGCCTCCCTTCAGTACTGTCACTGCCCCTGCAAGCTGTCTATCCTATCGTGCAGTTAGCGGGTGTTTTCCCACCAAACGGTTCTGAAGAGAAACTGTCTCCTATAGCAGTGTTTCTACCCCCCTAGGGGTACGTGGGAGTACTACAGGGGGTACGTGACAAATGTCATTAAAAAAAGTTGCATCAAAGCAAACTAGTGGTGTGTGAAATAACGATCTTAGATCGTGAAGGATTTAAACGTGTTGACGATCTGCAAAAACAGGGAGATCGTAGACCGGAGCTCATGTGTTCATTTTATCATGCTGCAGTTTATGCTCGTACACAGACAGATGAAGACCACATACATTTGTTTAGTAATGTTCTTTTCCCAAATTATTTCCTGAAAAATGACTTTGGCCAGATAAGGGGGTACTTGCTGAAATAAAGTCTGAAAGGGGGTGAACAAGCCCAAAAAGTTTGAGAACCCCTGCCCTATACGGAGTTTCCTGAGAACTTTCTGTTTGCGTTCGCGCCGCCATGGTGACGGCTGATATGAGAAAACAGAAAGGTCAGCACACTCAATGTCCTTTAAAGTTTTATAAGCCCATGCCACCCCTGTCCACCCATCTGGACATCACGCCCCTGTCCCTACCTACTTAGATTTGAATGATTATAGAATCATCCTTGAGAGGAAAGGTTTAGATCATGAATTGTTTCTCGGGTTATTTTATAAAAGAGTGCTGCGGGGACATGAGTCAACCAGAAATGACCGTTTGAGACTCACTGGGTATCTGCTGGATCTTGTGGACCACCACAAAGGCATCCGACAGGCCCACCTTCACCGGGTGATTGACAGAGCTGATCTGAGACACCTCGATGGGGATCTGAAATAGAAGAAGAGAAAAATCAATTACCAGAAGCGCGACAGTCTGTCTGGGACGGGCCGGGGAAACAGAAGCAGGCCACCCGGTCTGACAGCACTTCAATTCAAACCAATTTATTACCGTCTCTCCCGCGGGAATCTGTGACGGCAGGATACAGCTTCAATAAGCATATGGCCTCTTTTTGTGCAGAGAGTAAACATGAGATGAAAAGGAGGAACAAGTGTCTGGGTAATATTATAAAGATGAATCAGGTGAAGTTCAAATACAACAAACGGACCTGGAAATCATAAAGGATCATGCAAAACTTTGATTTCATGTCAAAAACAGATGACTCTTTTTTTAACCAATCACATAGCAGCACAATGAGGAGAACATAACAAATCACATAACATGTCTTAGTGTGCTGATGTAACCACTGTAATCATTGTGCATCAGTACTTGGTTGTTGCAGTTTCTCCCTCTTAAAGCAGTCTCTGTTAGATAATATCTTTCATTACATTCTCATTTTCAACAATTATTAGTTGTTACGGTGCGTTTTTGAATTGTACAAAATGAAAAGACTCCATTTGGACATCTAATAGAAAAGTCAGACATACTTTTTGCCGTGATGTAACAGCTGAAAAAAGCACATGGAACAGTATGAGGACATTATGTCATATTTTATTCATCGTATAACGTTTTATTTTGTCCACAGTCCTCGGACCAAAAGACCTGAAACATCGTGTGCATGTTTGTTCTTAGCTTAAAAGTCGAGGGCTGCAGGAAATGTAACAAATGACATGTTCCACATCAATAAATCATAAAGTGTGTCCTGTGTAAATGTGTCTCTGAGTCCTGACTGTCTACAATGAGGGAGAAGCTCGAGTCCCGCTGGCTGTGTTGTTGTCAGAGCCGTGTTTACATGGACGGGGCGGCCGGCTCCTCCCCTTGTGTATAAAAGCTGTTTTAGTCAAGAACTAGAGAGAAGAAGAAGAACATACTCACTGATTATTTGGATGTTAGTAAGAGTTTTTACATCACGCTCATTCTGTGTCAGTTTACATGAAATGTGAAGCTACGAGCTAACTAAAGAGCGCTAACATTAGCATGCTAACACAACAATGTGAAGCTACGAGCTGACTGAAGAGCGCTAACATTAGCATGCTAACACGACAATGTGAAGCTACGAGCTGACTGAAGAGCGCTAACATTAGCATGCTAACGCAACAATGTGAAGCTACGCGCTGACTGAAGAGCGCTAACATTAGCATGCTAACGCAACAATGTGAAGCTACGCGCTGACTGAAGAGCGCTAACATTAGCATGCTAACACAACAATGTGAAGCTACGAGCTAACTAAAGAGCGCTAACATTAGCATGCTAACACAACAATGTGAAGCTACGAGCTGACTGAAGAGCGCTAACATTAGCATGCTAACACGACAATGTGAAGCTACGAGCTGACTGAAGAGCGCTAACATTAGCACGCTAACACGACAATGTGAAGCTACGAGCTGACTGAAGAGCGCTAACATTAGCACGCTAACACAACAATGTGAAGCTACGAGCTGACTGAAGAGCGCTAACATTAGCACGCTAACACAACAATGTGAAGCTACGAGCTGACTGAAGAGCGCTAACATTAGCACGCTAACACAACAATGTGAAGCTACGAGCTGACTGAAGAGCGCTAACATTAGCACGCTAACACGACAATGTGAAGCTACGAGCTGACTGAAGAGCGCTAACATTAGCACGCTAACACGACAATGTGAAGCTACGAGCTGACTGAAGAGCGCTAACATTAGCACGCTAACACAACAATGTGAAGCTACGAGCTAACTAAAGAGCGCTAACATTAGCATGCTAACACAACAATGTGAAGCTACGAGCTGACTGAAGAGCGCTAACATTAGCATGCTAACACAACAATGTGAAGCTACGAGCTAACTAAAGAGCGCTAACATTAGCATGCTAACACGACAATGAGAAGCTACGAGCTGACTGAAGAGCGCTAACATTAGCATGCTAACACAACAATGTGAAGCTACGAGCTAACTGAAGAGCGCTAACATTAGCATGCTAACACAACAATGTGAAGCTACGAGCTAACTAAAGAGCGCTAACATTAGCATGCTAACACAACAATGTGAAGGACAATTGCTTGCTCTTAACGGTACTTAATTATGGTGCGTTCTAATTCATAACTCCTTTGTGTGAACATGAGGGGAGGGGGGTTGGAGGTGTGTCTCTGGAGGAGAGCGGAGGCTTCAGTATGGAGGAGGAGTGGCCTAACAGCAGTTTGTTTTGGTTTAATGCTGGAGCTCAAGGTGCGACATCTACTGGATCAAAAAGTCGAACATTCTTCCTTTAATGAAATAAAATATGCTGCCTAGAAAAAGTGAAAGATCAGATCCTGGAGTTAAAGTAGAAAAACAGTTTGGATGATGAGCACTGACCTCTTTGTATGCAAAAACAATCCTGCCGGTGTTGTGCAGCGTGGCCTGGAAGGTGAAGCTCCCCAGGTTGTAGTTGTCCTGCAGGTGGACGTGGTCCCACTGCACCACCAGAGCTGTACCTAAAGGAGAGAGAGACCCACAGTACAGCTCATCACCACATGTGGAACCAAACAGAATCTCATGGATTAAAGGGGAAATACAGTCATCACTGACAGTTATACTATCTACAGATAGCTAACACTGTCTTGTGTTTCCTCTCTTTTGAAACATCATCTGTCTGTCTCTGTGTAGCATGAAATGAACCGCTGACTGTGCAGAAGCCTGTGATGAAGAAGACATCAGTGTAGCTGAAATGTTTGTTAGGCGATATGTTTTTGAGGGACTGTTTCCTGGCAGAGGCTTCGTTTCCCCCCCTGTGGGTGTGACGTGATTGACAGTGAGGCAGTGTGAGCACTGAAGTAAAAACACACAAGAGGAGAAACTGAAATAATAAAACTTTAGAGACAGAACCAAATCAAATCAAGGCGTGGTGGGGGTGGTTACAGAGATCATGTAGATCTGGCAAAACATAGTGGAGAACAGAAAACACAATCCCCACCCCCTCCCACTGACTTGAGGTGAATTCTCCGGAGAATATCCTGCTGCGTTCTCACATCAGCTCACTCCGACTTGCTGCAGAAAAATACTAGCAGGCTAACTGTAAATAAAGTCTGCATCAACAATTCTGCTGTTTGCATTCACACATGCAGCTCCTCCTGCAGAGATTTTCAGGAGTTTTCTGCAGGTGTGAAAGCCCTATATGTTTACGTGATAAAATGTGTTATTTGTAAAATTGGTGTCTTAGCAATCAGTACAAAGACAGATGTAGACAGATGTATTCTGGACTGAATGACAACGACTAAATCGGTCAATCAGTAAGTTTAAGAGAAACTTAACAGCCACTGCTACAACTCCAAATCACACTCCTCCACATGGAGTCGTCATTAGTCGTTGTCTTATTTTGGAGACACAGAATCAGGAGGCGTCCAGCTCCACCCTCCAGACTGTGGGCTCCCATTACTCTTAACACCGTTCTGATTTACTGTGGACTTTGTGAGAACCTATTGATGTGAAAGCCATTCCCTACTCCGACTCCAGTCATTTGGCCGTTAGCCAGGCCGGTAAAGGTTTGTTAACACAACTCATCCATTTTCAAGTCACAAAGCCAGAGCTCCCAACCGGAGGGGAGATGAAATGTAGTTTCTCTGCGGACAGTTTGGAGGAAAGTAGAGGAAACGGGTGAATATTAGAGGGAGGAGCAGAGCACTACATTGATGCTAGCTTACTCACTGAGTCAGCACGAGTGATTCTGAATATAAGTCTGCTTATTGTGCATCGAGTTCAGGAGGGGGGGTTGTACTATCTGGGGGTTTTTGTGTCTAAAAATACAGAGAGGGTGAGGAGGCGAGGAGGGAGTAAACACTGGCCTTGTTTCTAATTCCACTGGCAAACTTCACACGCTGCATGAACTCAACACAAACTAAATCCATCTCTGTTACACAAGCCGAGTCTTGAAGACATTTTAGGGGGGATCAGACGTCAGCGTTGTGGCTCCTTTCAGGGACAGAAGACTTGAAATCATCCCAGAAGTGATGGATTAATAAATGCTCGTCTTCTACCTCCAATGGGAGCTAGAGCACCGCTGCATCGCTGAATGGAAATCATCTTGTCACATGTGACACTGTCATTATGTTCCCTTTATAGAAAATACAGTCACATCAGTGAAGTGTAACATCACTCCAACCTAAACCATGTTGTCTATTCTTTATTGAGCAGATTATAAATGACAAAAACAAAACGTCTGATAAGAGGCTTCACACCGTCTCTGTGACAGTAACGTCTAACACTTCACCTCTGCTGTGAAAGTGCTTCTCCCACAGCGTAACAGACAGTAGCGTTCAGCTGCTGCATTGGCAGGACGTTGACTGATGGACGGTTGTGTTGGGGATCGGGCGGGCTGAGAATCGATCGGCTGCCACGTTAGTGAAAGTCTGATGATGGACGCCACAGCAGAAGGTCAGTCACTGCACTGCAGAGGTTCAGACATGATGGATAACCACCAGAGCAGACGGTGAGGGGGGGGGGGGGTTTATCAGAAAAGGAGGATGCTGAATTTAAGCGCAATGTGGAGATGGATTAACTAGAATATTTCATTAATAAGAACAACTACAATCAATGATTAGAAACGCTGTGTGCAGAGGCGCTGTTTGTCAACAGGCAAGGCAGGCAACTGCTCGGGCCCCGGACCAATAGTGGGCCCCTGAGGATCACAAACTTTAAACTACAGTGGCTCAAAATGGGCAAATTTTGCAACAACAGTAGAAAACCTCCCTAAGGGGGCCCCATCAGACAGCACTCACTCTCATTTCTCTGCTGAGCGTTGCAGCATTATCGCTGTGAAAACACAAAGTTTGTCGATGAAAGCCAACAAAGAAAACTGAAGAGGAATTATCCGTCTATAGGAGATGAAAAAGAAGAGTAAGCGTTGGGACACCGGCAGAAATGATGGTGATGAACGCTGGTTGGAGGCCACCACAATGAACTTTTACCGAGGGCCCCGACAGACTCTTGAAGCGCTGCTGGCTTTGTGTGAACATTTGGACGAGTAAAAAAAAATCTTTACATTTCTCTAGTTTTATTTTTGAGTGATCCTTTTCAGAGCGCTTCTCACCAGCGCTCATTGTTGCTAGGTTACTAAAGTGACTTCTGCTTCCCTCAGTAATGTCCATTAGGTTTGTTTTAAATTGCGTATTATTTGCTTTAATCATCCTGGCTTCAGCAGCAGCTCTGCACCTGGAATTGTTTTTGATATCAGAAGTCCTGCCCCTTCTTGATTTTGATTTGTCAGTGAGTGAGAATGAACATTGACGAGCGTTGTGCTGTTGCGCGTCTTTCAACTGTGAGCGCAGCAACAACAAACAGCTGACACCCGGGGCGTTTTAGTGCTCATGGCGCTGAATGCTAAAAACGCTTAGCTAAGTGGTTTTGTATTGAAAACGAGCGCCGCCAGCAGTGTATAATGTTCAGGCATAAGGGAGATATTGGAGGGAAGCTGGGGTTACCGTTGTCAAAGTAGATGACTGTAGAGTTTCTGGAGACACTGGGGTCAAAGTTCGCCATCAGAGGAGCGATGTACTGTGTAGCCGTTAGCATCCGGTGGACCACGTCCCCCGTGTAGATGAACCCTGAGGAAGAAGAAGACACAAAAAATGAACCACAGGTACTCTGCAAATTCTCATTAAAGAAAGAAACCTGCTGATGTTTCATTTGTTCAATGTAACGTTTCATTTGTGTACCTGCTTTGATAAATAGTTTTCAAGGGGATTAGCCTTTAGCAACTCAGGAAAAACAAGCATCAATCAATCCCTCCCTCCTCTTCCACCTTTCCTCTTCCTCTAAAGCTGTTATCAGTTAAAGTCTCTCCATGAAGACATCCAGTCTGCCCTCCAGTCCAAAGTTGAAAGCTCCTCGTTTACACACATCCATTGCTTCTCCTCGCGCCGCAGGCTGCTTTAAGCTAGCGATGAATTACTGCTATTATCTTTATCAAAAACAGAAGGCCAAATCTAAGAGACTTTAAAGGAGCATTTGCAAAGTGAGCAGTTAAATATCCCCCAGTGAAAAGCAGACTGTTACACTCCTCATCGATCACAGGCGCTAACGAAGACACAATGACAACAAAAAGGGATTTGTCAACTTGTTTAATTTATTCTTCCCTTCAACGAGGCACGAGTGGATCTCTGCACAGAGAGGGACACGCTCAGTCAACACAAACTGGAGCTGCATCATTTAGGATCCTGTAAACATGGTTATTAATGGACTCCAGAAAGGGGAGGAAACGCCCACAGTTCATCACGAGGGAACAGTCTTTGCAGCTCTGATGACAACAGAACCAAACAGCGTCTTCATTTCCCCACTTACAACAAAGTTTAGCAAAGTCAGCTTCTATTTTTAAGATTTATTTCAAGGTAATGCTTTTGTTTATTTCACTGGCTTTGCCTGAACGGCGAAAAAAACAAAACTTTTAGAAGTAGGAGATAAACTTTATTAACCCTGCGTGGGGGATATTTGATTTAACTGGTATTGAGACATGCTACACACACATGCACTAACAGGATCTTGTGAACATGCACTGATGGAGAGATGTCAGGATGAGGGGGCTGCACACAGCGAGCGCTCCTGAGCTGGTGGGGGCTCGGTGCCTTGCTCAAGGGCAAGGCTGAGGAAGCTACCTGGCACCTCTCCAGCTAACAGACCAAATTCCAGATTTTGTCCGCACCGGGACTAGAACCTGGCGACCCTGTGGATCCTTACCCTCCCCTTCAGACTGAGATAATGCCCCTTAAACTGTCACTGTTTTTACTCAGAACAAAGTGCATTGGGGTGAGACAGTCACAGGATTCCAGTAGAATTGATGATTTTTGAAGAACTGAAAACACTTGCTGGGACAGCATCTTAAAAATTTGGATGTTAATTTCGATAAATTACTCTTATTGAGAAAGGGGACTTTAATACTTTCCATGATGTTGCCACAACTGTTTGGATAAGAAGTGTAAAATTGCAGGATTTTTGAAAGTGTGGATGGGTGCATGCTCGTGCTGCGACCTGTGCCCGAGGCATAAAGTAAAAAAAAACTAACACTGCTTAGAAAGAGAGGAATTTGAAGAAAAGTCTTTTTGAAGCCAAGCCCATAAGCCCTCATTTCATGACACCATATGTCTGCTCATTCAGTGGGCGGGCTATAAAAACACATCTATTACGTTAGAAAGCAGGAGCAGAGAACATCAGGGGGAAATCAATCCTCCCCTAAAGACCTCCCAGCTGAGAATGACCTCTGTACAGGACACTGTCAAAGTACAGCACGAGGTGGGAGTGAAGATGTGACTTTATCGAGCGGTGTGAAGTCCTGACTGTGTCGACGTCCACCTGGAGGTCAAACATCTGGGAGGAGTTGCCATGGATACAGCTGGTTGTAGTACAATCAAAAGTGAGAAATTCAGCCAGAGACACCCGAGCCCTTCCAGAGAGGGGGCGTGGTCAGTCACAGCTCATTTACATATTTAAAGGTACAGACACAGAAACAGCCTGTTCTGAGCAGGGCTGAAATAGAGGGGTTTATAGACATGATCAAATACAGGATCAGAGTGGATTTAGAACAAGAAACTTCACACACATTTTGAGGAGCTCTGAGACTTATTGAAACTGAAGAAGAAGAGAGATATGTCACCTTTAAATTTCCCTTTAAATGTGCCAACCAGTATCTTCTGATTGAGATTTTAATGAATGATGAATTCTTATTCTGCTCAGACTCCGGATAGTAGGTCATAATGTGACGCGACTAATATTAAAATTTGCACTTACTGTATATGTTTAAAAAAATAGATTCTTGTCCCTTCAGGCCCGCTCTGTCGGTCCACTAGACGAAAGACGCCCCATGCACTTTGTATCTGAATGTTTTAAAAGTGCTTTATAAATAAAGTCTGACTTACTCACTACACTAGACGCTGGAGATCATCAAAGTGGTGAGGGCTCAGTGTTTAGGCTTCAGGGTTGGAGATTTGGGATTGGGCCAAGGAGTGATGGAGTAGAATAATTCTCCCCACGTCATGTTTACATGTTCTGTGATCTCAAAGTCCCGGCCTGTGTGTGTCCAACGAAAACATGAGCGGGAATTAGCTGTACCGTTAGGAGTAAAGCTTCCCTTTTATTGGACATCGTGTTCGGACGAAGTCTTGTTGTGTTGAACTCATTGTCTTCATGGTATTGTTGCAGCTGTTTTTAAGCCAGAACTGCATCAAACACACATTTATTATGTTTTAAGAGGAAGCTGAAGGTTTTAACTAAATTAGATTTCGGTCTTTTTATGATATTGTTTTTGAAGCAAAACAATAAAAACAGTCAGCCTGTAACACATCCAATATCTCTTTCGGAGCATAAATCCTCTGGAACACAGCTAACGGAGAATTGGCAGCAAACGCCTCCATGACTGAACAAAAGAGTCTTTACTTAATCAGCTGAAAAATCTCAAGAGTGTTGATTCCCGTCAAAACTTTGCCTCCCAGAAATTTATTTCATATCTGCCTTCTCACCGTAAACAATAGGACATGGAGCGAGAAAGACAGAGACACCCAAGCCCTTCCAGAGAGGGGGCGTGGTCAGACACAGCTCATTTACATATTTAAAGGTACAGACACAGAAACAGCCTGTTCTGAGCAGGGCTGAAATAGAGGGGTTTATAGACATGATCAAATACAGGATCAGAGTGGATTTAGAACAAGAAACTTCACACACATGTTTTGAGGAGCTCTGAGACTTATTTACACTGAAGAAGAGACCATCGTCTGATTGAGGTATTAACACTATGAATTCTTCTGCTTTACTGTTAGAAGTTCCTGTAACTCTGAAAATCCTAAAGGTTTCTGTGAGTGTAGCTGAGACAGGGAGTGAAGAAGTACCAGTAAAAAGACTGACTGACAACAAAGATGGGTGAGGAAAGGTGGTATAGTGGGAAGAGGAGGAAGAGGTGACTGATAGACCCTGAAATGGAGGGTCTCTTGGAGACAAAGCCCCTGAGGCCTGCCAGACGCAGATAGTCGCCTCCTCCTACTCCTCGGTTTCACTCTCCTCCTCACGCTCATCCCTCCATCTCTGTCTGAGGAAATGCAAATTTCTGTTATCTCCTCTGTGCTTGCAGCCTTCTGCAGACGTCCATTCCATCGAAGAAAGACCAACTGAACGCTGTGCCAGTGACGCAGGATGGAGTGGGGAAAACGAGTCAGCGATGAAAATGATGATAAGAGACACATTTCTTTATTATTCCAGTGGCAGTGGAACGCAGCATCTCTGAAATAGTTGGAT